ATATATTAACTATATACTGTATATATTATTATTTGACTATATTATTTTTATATTACTGTATATTATATTTTTTTCATATTATTTTCTCATACTGTCTGTGTGAATACACTTTGTATCGTTGATTTGTATATCAGAGAATGTGATTGGTACCCTAGTGTAAAGTGTACTTGAACTCCCATTATCACAAAGCAGCAAGTAAATGCCTTTTAATAGCATGCAGTAAACAGTTTAAAGCTGAAGTTTAATCTGCTCCTATTTTGCCCTCGCTGGTTCCTCGTTTCCCACCTCATCAACATGCTAATTAAATCATTAAATAAACCCTTTCTGTTTTTATTACATACGTTATTTTAGTCCCAGTGACATCATCGCTGGGTCTCTGTGCTTCCCTAGGTGATGCAGGCAGATCATCATCATCGCTGGGTCTCTGTGCTTCCCTATGTGATGCAGGCAGATCATCATCATTATCATTACTGGGTCTATGTTCTTCCCTATGTGATGCAGGCAGATCATCATCATCGCTGGGTCTCTGTGCTTCCCTGTGTGATGCAGGCAGATCATCATCATTATCATTACTGGGTCTATGTTCTTCCCTATGTGATGCAGGCAGATCATCATCATCGCTGGGTCTCTGTGCTTCCCTATGTGATGCAGGCAGATTATCATCATCGCTGGGTCTCTGTGCTTCCCTGTGTGATGCAGGCAGATATCATCATCGCTGGGTCTCTGTGCTTCCCTGTGTGATGCAGGCAGATATCATCATTGCTGGGTCTCTGTGCTTCCCTATGTGATGCAGGCAGATTATCATCATTGCTGGGTCTCTGTGCTTCTCTTTGCAATGCAGGCAATTCCTAAAAACATAAAGCCGAGACAATGCCCACATGTGATGCCTCCATGATTGAAAGAACTGAAATCCAGTGAATGAAGGGGGGCAGGCCAGGTACAGTCAGGCTGGGGAGGAAAAAGCTAGATGATTCCAGGTGTCTTCCAGCCAGGAAATGGCATTTTGCAGCTTCTAATGCACATTGTGAGAATCTCACAGTGTGCAGTGATATCACAGTATGCAATGTCAGTACAGGAGAGGAGCCGGTACATCTGTGCAAAACTGAAGGTAAAGCCGGAGTTCTGCTTTAAAAGTTATGGTCTGGAGATAAAAACAATATACTTCATTGCTGCGGATAGCTTAGGAGTAGGAAACCACATTCCAGCTGTATCCCATCATGGCTCTGTCTCTGGGAGCCATGCTTGTGGCTGCCAAAGTCTTGCAATGCCTCATGGGACTTGTAGTTCCATCACAGCTAGAGTGCCACGGTTGCCTACCCGTCGTGGATGAACAGCTGATAAGCAGCGAGTCTGAGTGATTGCAATGTAATGCAGAGCTCCCTCTAGTGACAACTCTAAATGTCTAAGCATAGGTGGTGGGGTTGGTGGTAGGGAAGGTGGTGGGGGGGTTGGTGGTAGGGAAGGTGGTGGGGGGGCATCAGAAAGGCACAGTTAGAAATAAAAACATTGTCAAGACGTTCTAACCCCTTCCCAACTGACAGGGACCGCGGGGCGATTTGTCCAGTAGGGGTAGAGAGGGCAATAAAAGCTCAACATAGCCTCTCAGCCAAGGCCAGGCAACCTCGGCGCTCCAGCGAAACTACAAATCCCTTCATGCCTCTGCCTCCGAGACTCATGCCTGCGGCTGTCAGGGTCTAGCAATGCCTCATGGGACTTGTAGTTCCACAACAGCTGGATTGCCCAGGTTGCCCACCCCTGCTCTAACCCTTCCTCACTCCATGCAAAATGAGATAAAACTTTATGCGGAGTTTAACAATTACAGAAATATGTAAGAATGTGTACAGGAATGTGAAAAATCACATGGCAAATGTTCCAATGACAGCAGAAAATGTGCGTTGATTGGACGCACGATACTTTCCCTGTAAGGTATGCGAAATGTTATTTTCTTATGAGTGTTCTATATCCTGTATAGAGGAAGTCAGCTCTGTGATTTGTACTCCGTCTACCACGGACCCCATGCAGCCATTACCCCCGGCATTATTCTATTACCATCGGACGATGGCTGCTGTAGACACATCGATGGCATGTGCCAGTTCCCTGCCAATCAATGCCGGGGCTCCTCGCCTCATTCCCACCACCAGGTCATAATGTCTCAGATTTTAATCTCGC